AGATTATCTATGCACTCTACTCCCTCCCATGAACTGATATTTACCGCTTCATGTGTTCGTCGCCGGTTGCTATAGTAAGTCTGAAACGAATTTATCAGTGGTTTCCTAGCACTAAAGAGAAATAGGTAAAAGAAAGTTTCCTTTTGATCATGTACGCAAACTCAACTGATTCTCCACCGTGACCGCCCATCTGCAGGCTATTGTACAACTGCAGGATCCACTGTCTTGGTGGCCGGTTTTCATGATATTCCTGAAAGGGAAATATCAGGGATTTCACAGCCGCCATACGCTGTCTTTTGACCATATGCGCTCATTTCCTCCCATGTCCCGGCATCTGGTTAGGCAGCCGGTGGATTATACTAGCATTCAAGTTCGGTTGGCTCCGCCCGCCCCCATGATCATGCTATACTACTAAGTGGCTCGTCATACGACCCTTAAGGTTGTGCACATTAGTACTGAGTTCAAAAAAAAAAAAAAAAAAACCGCAGTTGAGCCCTCAAGGTACACCCAACTTGCGTCAGATATTAGCTGTGGATTGCGATGGAAGTGCGTGGACTCCAAGAGAACAGGAAGTTTCACGCGCGAATAGTATATGATCTTATCAATTGCATTCCACACGCTTGTAACTAATTAGGCCACATAGAAGATGCTTGAGGGCATTCGTGCTAGCATTCTAATGCAACTTTCAGCTGCAATTCCCTCACTTCAGCTCGGGCTGGACTCAGAAATTTTGGGATTTTGAGATAAATGATATATGCTATTCGTGAAGAGCAGGGAGGCGGGGCGAGCCCCGCCCATGATCAGAGGGATGGAGATCAAAGCTAACTCCTCGTAATTGTGACTGAGCTAGCCCGGGCTTCACTGGCTAGAAACTAGTCCACGCTGGCTTGTGACGTGAGTAATGTTTATGATGTGCCCCGCTTTGAATGAATATATAGAGTTTGAGCTTTCCTACCAGCTATCCCTCTCTCAACCCATTCTCGCCCGACAACCTTTACCTTTCGAATAAGACTCATCTCACATTTCACATACAAACCCATCCCTCTATACATCAAAATGGCCTCTAGCCAAGCTAAATGCAAATGGCCAACGCTCACAATCTCTGTCACCAACACCTCCAAAGTCGAGCACAAGTGGCACATTTTCACTGAGCCTCCAAATATCAATGGTTCTGTTGAAAATGTGTTTCTTCAAAGCGTCCAGAGCTCAAAAATTCCCCCGCAGCACACTCACGACTTTTGCATTCCCCGTGCAACAGCTGCCTTCACCGCTGGTGGAGATGCCTTCTGCCCCCAGTTTCCAGACTTCTATGATCCTATCCAGGTAGCAACGGCAACTGAAAAGGGCACAACAATCAAAATGACGGTCAAAAACGACCGCGCTCAATTTGTGCGTCCTCCCGCTCTCACCACAAAATCACCTGGGGCCTTCACTGTCCGCACTGATGATTCTTTTGATCAGGGCTGTAAGTGATGTTCTCTAATAGTTAAATATAGCAGTTATGCATTCTAAAACCTTACTATTATAGCCGGCTACGTCGTGGGCATTGCCCTCCTCGATCTGTCTGAAAGAAAAGTTATCACTGCAGCCACCGAAGCAAACCCGATGGCAGACATCCAGATTTCGCAGGTCCTTAATCTTTGGATATGCTGGGGCAATTTCGAGCAAGGCAAGGGAGTTCCCCCGCAAGAGTTGATCAATCAAGTCCACAAGCATGGTGTCATCGCCAAGGTTGCCTTCACTGAAGGGAATGATTACATTAAGATCAAGTACTTACCGGATGGCCACTATGAAGGACAAGGCGTCACAGAGCTTCCAAAGCCCAACTAAGTCCATTGCTACAGCCAGCGCCTGTAGACATAAGAAGATGGATATGCAATTTGGTATATCTCTTTGGTAGTCATATTATGCAAGGTTACGAAGGCGCTGTTATTGGACTGAGGGGGATCGATGTTGGGTGCTGGTGTTATGACAGGAGAAAAAAATGAAAAAGAAAAAAAAAATCCATCTTCGAGTATTCAGTGGATTGTAAAGGTGTGAGAGGGAAGTTATCTGATTGAGGGGACACAATCTCTGAGCTTGCGTACACTCTTTTTTGTTAATGGTTACTCGTTTACCATAGTTAGCTACCTAGTTAACATAACAAAAAACTGCTTTATACACGTGACTGCAATTTGGGAACGTCAAGGAAGTGAGATTACTAGCGCTGTGGACTGTCATAGTAGATTATCTTTCACTTCAACCTGCATATACTGAGGAATTTAGATGGACTTATACTGGTTAATTGGAACTACCTTCGTTCGGCACCGGACATTCTCTATAGAGGAGCAGTCTCTTATCCTTCGACACAGTTATAGCCGTTTGCATGCATTCTGCACACTATTTTCATGCAGCACAAAGTGAAATAATGATCATGTCGGACAATTAAACTGAATAATGTACGCGAGATTTAGGCTAGTCAGTTTCAGATTGGCACAAGTTACGAGGGGCTTATGCCAACCAGACTAATTATACAGATAGCAAAACATCAAATCGTGGCTACTATACTGTACATTTGGTGAATCTGTTACTTGGAATACGTGGTCATAATACTGCTATTGTAATATTATATTTAGTCATTCATGATCACAAGAGACTGAGATCAATAATTATATCCTTCATCATTTTATTGTCATACCTAATATTAATAGTTGCTGAACACCCTGCATGCTGTTTTGACTTGAATACTATCAAACATATTTGGACGCCAACTTCATAAACAATCTCTAATTTAATGAATATACCTGAGAGTCCAGAGATAATTAAGGAAGTATTGGTAGATGCTTTGCAAGTAATTTGAAAGGGCATTCCAGAGTCGCTTTTGGAGAGTTTCTATACCTCTATGCCTCGTCGTGTAGCAGCTGTTATTAGGGTGGATTGTTGCTATACAAAGTACTAGATCCACAGAATCAAGTTATTTTGATTTTACACTATTAGACTAATTATTTTGCTCTCATAAAATTTTTATATACATATATAGTTTCAATTCAACACTGCATATCTGTACATGGCTAAGCTAGATTATACATGCTACATAAATATAAGACCTGCATAGGCCCTCTTACACAGGGGTACTGGGAAAACTGGTAAATAAGAGCCCTTGTCAATATCTTTTGATCTTCTCTTTAACGGTAGCAGTGTTACTACTTGTGGCAAGATAGGCAGCTTGGCTACACGATTGTGACTTACTTTACCGCTGTGTCACTGTTGTGATTCACTTTTTGACAAGGGCTCTTATTCTCATTCACGAGTTTTCCCGGTACCGTACAAGATTTTTTGCCACCCAGCTGTATACAGACGTACTTAAGGTGGATCTCGCCATTAATAGTCTGAATGCAAGTACTGGGTTTCCCCCCAAAAAGTACTTAAGGTGGGACGCTGACTTAATGTCCCTTAAAACAAGCACCTTGCCGTGTGCGGTCCCATTAAAGGGACCTTGACTATTCTATTGCCAAGGTCGGTCCAGCGATCTCTATGCTCTACATTCGGGAAAGCAACTCAAGGTAAGCTAAGCTTCTTTTACCCTCCGATAATAATAACTGTTGCCCTTGTGTGAACGCTTGCATTCGAGTCCTATTGAGGGCTCTGACAGTCGAAGGCTGTAGTTGGTCGAAATGCAACTGTGGCAGGCATCGCATGCTCCAAACCGTGTTGATAAATCCAATCGTGACTCCAAGGCGTTCAAGGTCTGGGTGGGTGCCTTGATATGTGAAGTTGACTCTCAAAAATAAAATTTTCGCAGCAGATATAGTATATAATGCGTGTAAATACAAGTATCGCTAGAAAAATACGTGAAATTTTGTCATTTTAGTTCCTTAACATGCACACCACACGAACAGGATACAGTGAATTACCTTAAATTCTCTAGCTGTGGTCATGCAGCCACGATGCCTAACTAGTACCATACCGCATCAAATGATCATTTCAAGTAGCGAGGAAAACACAAATATTAAAGTATATATGCTCCCTAGTGTCTATGTGTACTCTTTCTCAAAAGATACTACGGTTTATAACTCATTCTCATTGAGCTCTGAGCTCTATAAACTATATAGCAAAACTCAGATTAGAGACGAGCATAAATACCAGCTTCACAGAATAAGACTTGAGCCCAAATTTGACGGGATGTTGTATTACACTACATCTTATTCACTGGATTGCATGGTTGTACTGGAACGCTTCTCACCGTGAGAGAGGTAATTCTAGATAAATATGCCCTCTAGAAACCTGTTCATTATTAGCATCATGCACGGATATAAAACACAAGATACCAATACTTATAGAGGTAAGTGGAGTTGAAAGTGCCGTCAATTTCTCCAATTAATACTCAGTGTAAAATAGGTATGGTGGAGGTAAATAGTTGATTGCGGTGAAGGACATAAGTGTCTTCCACTAAAACCTCTGTGGAACTTAAAGCAGTGGGATTGCTATGGTGATTTATACTTTCTGTTGTGTTCTAACAACTGAGTCTACACTAAGATTTAATATCAATAGTGCTAGAGTAGGAAGCCTACTAGAGAGGCGTCTTGGAAATGTACTTATAACATCTAGGAATTGCACAGAGTTCCCGAAGGTACTCTCGTTGACCCAGGAGGTGTTTTGACCTACACCAGGTGCCCTTTCCTTCACAGACCGTAAATAGCAAGTTTTCCGGTACAAGGCGTTCCAGTATGTAGCAAGTATGGATAACCAGATATCAATGCTTCAATCGAGAAGCCCAGGAGGTTCTTTATATCATCATTGCTGGAATCCGTTCCATTAATATCTGCGATTGGCTATTTATGTGGAAAGATACCAATAGATTCTTGTGTTTACCTAAAAAATGAGTCTCGGTTACAAGACCTGCCACCTAATTTCTCAATTTCATAGCTGTGATGGTATATATGATACATGTTTCTGCTAAGTTGCGTCCATAAGGCAAGTTACTGAGAATTCAGCAAATTGCCTGGATCGATAAAAGTAGAGGTTCTATGGCGCAATTGGTTAGCGCGTCCGGCTGTTAAGGGCGTATGGCCACTAGCATACCGGGAGGTTGAAAGTTCGAGTCTTTCTAGTACCGATTGCTATCTTATTTTTTCCAAGATCTATCCAGAAATACTCACTTTTTGAATTACCGAACATCAGAAATGTATGCTATACCTTACCTCTGAATATCCACTACCTACCAGATATATTTAGGCTGAGTCCACCTTCTGCTGAATTACCCATGCTAGACTCCCAATATCAATGAGTTCATACTCGCACGCCACATATAATACCGAATTGAATCATTGATCTCTGACAACGCTATCTGTAAGAATATGAGGTTATGACTGCCAAGGCCGTTTCAATTGATATTAAAAAAGGCAAATCAAGCCTCACAACCGCTGCCGCCCTGCGCGTTGTACGGTGGGGGGTAGTGCTTGGGAGAAACAGGAGAGTGTAGCACTCAGATACGCATAATACATCGGTGAAGTTTATTACGAAGGCGATTGAGATTATACGGTGGAGGTGTTTGGGATTCGGTATATTGTCATGATAGATCGGATCTCTGGGTTCGATTTTTTTTTTTGAAGAATACTCGCATGTAGCATAAAGCCCATGGCGAGGGTGGTGTCGTCGTAAATAATATCACACTGAGTTTCTCAAGCACTCAGCCCTCCTGACAACATAAACATACATAACTTTTATTCTTATTGATTTTCACGTTGAAGATGGAATACCCGAATCCGGAGATGTGTTACGGCCCACCTCCCATAGGTCCGATCGAGTGAACGAAAGGACTGGGTTCATGCAGGAAGGACCGCAGGAAGGACTGCAGGAATGCACAGGAATGCACAGGAGTGCCACAAGGTAGGATAACAGCTGGATAACCCTCAGAGCCAATAGTGGACATTGGTATCTATATAAGGCGGACTATTTCCTGTACTCTTTTTACGCTCTTTCTCTCTTCTTCACGCAACGTTCCTGTATCTTAGCCGCGCTAAATACATATCGTTCTTCCTTGAACCTCTTGTCCCTTGTCATAGTCTTCGGCCACAGTAAGTGCTCCCTGGAGCCCGTCACACTAGCCTCGCCATTACAAGATGTCGGAAAATATAGATGTACGCAACAGGTTAGCTGCGGAAAATAGGCGGCTCACAGCCGAGAACAATCGCCTCAGTACAGAAAATGCTCGTCTCCAGGCTGCGAATGCTGCTTTGCAAGCCGGAAGTTTTGCAGGTCACCGCAACGGTGTTATGGTTGGGTTACGTTACATTCAGCTCTATCTATACTTACACCTTCCCAACTCGCACAACTGGATTCCTCTCTCACCCAAGCTCGGGCTACCCTTCTCAATACGAATTCATTCGATAACCGCGAAGCATTCATCCCTACCGCTATTGAGATTCTTCAGCGAGGTCTCAACGTTGTAGGGCTGTCAGCTAGCCCTGTAAGGATCTCAGCAGGAGATGGATATCGTGATTGTGACCTACCTGAATCGATCTCTCTCCGACCGTGAACGTATTATGGCTTGCCTCGATTGGTCGAAGGCTCGACTTAAGCATCATAATCAAGGGAGACAAGTTTATGATATTGTGATTTATCTAGAGACATTGCTGGGGTTGTTGGAATATCGCCTCCTGCTTTGAGCATGCGCCTGTTGATCGACACGATAACTTTTCCCAAGGGATTGTTGGCTCGACGTAAGTCGCAGTCACATTTACTGTATGCCAAAATCGGCCAAGGCTAATTACTTGCTTTCAGGAATTTTACATTGTAAACATCGACTTTGCTGGTCGTTCCTACTTCGGTGTTGAGTGCTTCAAGTTGGGCTGTCGGAGTGCTGTTAATTTTACATATTCGAGCATCACCATAGCTAACATGCGATTACCGATCTATTTTCATCTCCTAAAGCTTGGCACTTTACCTCCGTTGGTATCTAAAAATTGATATATTTAATATTAATTTTTAGATAAAAAACGGCTTCGGTCTTTTGTTTGCCCTGGCCCCTGCTTGTCTCTCCACTTGTTGCCTTCCTTGGGATGGCCGGCGAGAGTATTCCAACCTATCATTTGATGTAAGCATTAAAGCCACACGATTAAAAAGTCATATATGCACTAGCCGGAGTAGACAGGTTTTTATCAACCATAGAAATTTTTGATATTTCTCTAACTCTTGACCGTGGGCAGTGCCGATCCTGGTTGTCAGAGATATATTGTTACACCAGATTGAGAGAGAACCTGGAAAGTAAGCCAGAGACTGGGTATAACGTATTATTCTAGTTTGCCAGCACCAAGATTCAAAACAACTAGCCTAGTGCCGGAAAAACACTACTCTTTCCATATAGATATCGGCATTGAAGCGATCCAAGGCGCAATCCCTAGATCAATTTTGGGGTCTCGAGATCTCGTTGAATCGGTATCTCCAGGGCGCCTAGGAAGTTGCCTTTCCCTCACCGATGCTGATGCATTGTGAGATGTAAGCGCTAAACCCTACTGCGGGAGTGCAGTATGTAGTTGGTAGGTCTCGGATTTAGCCGATACTGCTGTAGCTACAACTAAGTTGCCTCTTATGCAGCTATCAATGGACTTGGTGATAGATACCGCTGAGTCTTCTTATAACAAAATATAATAGTACTAGAGGAGCTGGAGAGATCGAAGGCGGTGACTGAGCCGCTTTTCCTGTTGAGAAAATGGTGGATATTGAAACTGGCAAAGACTAAAGCTGGAAATTATAGAGTACTCCGCATGACAGAGCGTCAGTCTGGGGTATAGATTACGGTTACCTCCAAAATTAATATCAACTCCAACCCTCGTCTCCAAATCCTGGTACGCATGCTGTAGAACACACTGTCGGCATGTGATCCATCTCACTGCACCCGTTCCGCCACGCTCCAAAGAAACCTCTAGATAATATCACAGAAGTTATTTTTGGCATCCAAGTTGAGTGTGAGATTTTCAGATTGTGTTACAACAGGGCATGGTCAGGAGCGTGAGGTCATCCGTGCGGCCACGGGGACATGAAATCCATTAAATATTTTATCTACAGGCGACGCTGGCCCGCATTTGTCGTTCGTGCTCGTGATTGATTTAATTTCTCTGTGGATTCGTACGTACGGGACTCTGTGGCTACGGAGGCAGACTGGGAAACATTGCAAGTGCGAAGGCTTGCGATCAAACTCGGGAGAGCAACGTTAACCGGCGTCTATCACAGACTCGCACCACCTTAACCGGATCGATCAGCAGAGAGTTCATCTATTATCTTGTGCTCTGTCAAGCCTATTATCCAGCAGCAAAGTGAACAAACTTTAGCAGCCCAGCTGGCGGCACGGCACAGGTTTAAATATTCCAAGGTACCGAAGGCATACGGGTACATTATTCCCTTTTGACAGGCGCAATATATCGGCGCGGGTGCGGTCAAAGAGGTCGAATACCTACCGCGTCAACCTCCCGTGGTTTGTAGAGAAGGATCACGCGACAAAAGAAAATCAACAACAATCACTCAACTTGGAGGACAGAGGTTTCCAAAATCTAGATTTCCTTCATCTGAAACCCAATCATCCTCAGAGGGAGATTCCTCCGGCTGCTCATACTTGTTCCGACATCTCATCAGCCTTGTCCCGTTGACGTCGCGTCACCGTGAACCCACGCCCCGTAATCAAATTCCGCGGGTTTATCTGGTTCATCTTAAAATCCCCAGGACTAATTAGCGGCGCTCATATTGATTGACCCCGGGCCAGTCAACGGCCCAAGCTGCGGGGAGCCTACTTTAAGGTGCAGCTGGTAAATCAACGGAAATACGCTGATTCGTTCCCGTGCCACCTATCGTATATGCAGAGTTTACGTTTCGTCTAGGCTCATCTTATTGTGTGCAGGTTTCAGCACTGTGCAGGAATTGCTCTGCGGATCCCGATTGAACGGACGAGCCGCAATATATATAATTAAGGTGAGATATATCGACGAATGGTATTTAGGCAGTTGCCACTGCACAGCGAACTCCTCGCATATATTCTTTATCGACACAGCACGGAACGGCGCACGCGCAGGCAAGCAAGGAGGGAGGACTTATATATATGTGTTATTAACTGTGGGTGGGATTATTATTTTTTTTGTTTGGTTTTGATTCTTAGATCTGGCATACAGGAGTCTACGAGCTCGAGTCGACTTTCTAGAAGTCTCACGCAGGACTCATAAGCGGAATATTAATTTTCTATAACAGCAGCGCCTACGGCATAGGTCTAGATGCAGACAAAGACAGTCGTAGTCCATCTCCCACTCAAATCCACTGGGAATTCAAAACTCAGCTCCCCGAGGGGGTTCACTTCCAACAACCTCAAACCCTCCATAACCACAACAATAACCACGATGAGCATCCCTGCCCCAATCCCTATCCCCAAATCAGCCTCAACAAGCATAAGAGCGAATACCACCGAGGCAGTCGACCAGCGGAGATCAACCATCCTCCGCCGAAGATCAGACCGCCGGGTAAAGGCATTATCCGTGGGACATATCTCGCCGAATCCATCACCGATGCATGCCACACCGGGGCTGGATTTTGGTTATGACGGATCAAATATACGTAGCGAGATTTACGACGAGAGAAGAGGTATCAATGAGAGGCATTTTGGTAGTACCGGGTTGCAGCCAATACCTGCAGCGGGGAACGCTCCGCTGAAACAGAGTTATATGGCACGGGTTGCGAACGGATTGGGGTTCATGAGTAAGGTGTCTGAGGAGAAAAACCAAAAGGAAAAGGAGCCATCGGGTTCGAATTTGCAAATCAAGGCATTAGGGTTGGGGTTAGGCGCAGGGATATTGTTCGGGGCATCCTCTCTTCCTGGTGCCGGTACTGGTGAGGGGGGATCAGCTCGGAGATCCCGATCAAAAAGTAATAGTCGACCAGGGACGGCGGGGGGATTAATAACAACCGCATCCATATCTACATCCACCGCAGGAAGCACCAATATTAAACCGAAAGTCCCTGACATGGATAAACCCCTCCCCTCCTGCCCTGTGAGCCCATCTATTAATCGCCGCTACTCCCTCCGCGCCGATGGGGGAGCGCAAACACCCTTCGGTACACCGGGCTCGTACAGCC